AGCTTGAGTTTCCATCACAAATACTGCAGAGTATTCAACTTGAAGAGCTTCTTTGTTTGCAGCAGATCAATTGAGCTGTTTAATGTTTTTATTTTATATATTGTGCACAATGCTATTTTCTGTTTAGAGGAGAACTTGAAATTAAGGACTGAAGTTGCTTGTAAGAACTTCTGAAGAGATCGTGCCCAGTAAAGTTTCATAGCTGCAAGCATTTTATGATAACACAGACAACAAACAGGGTATTCAGCACTGAAAAAAATTGTTTTTAAAAGTTGCAAGAGAAATTTGTTTTAAAAACCTATTTTTATTTTCATGGAAATTTGGTGCAATATTTTACCAGTCAACCTTGCCATTTTGTACAGTTTTGTGTAGGATTCAACATTTGTGGTGAAACTTTCATGAGATACTTCTCTTTGTAATAATATCATCATAGCTTCTTTTTTTTTTCTTTTTTTCTTTTTTTCTTTTAGGAGCATAATTACAAAGTGTTTGCCTTATTCTTCTCCATGGGTCTGGTGCCTACCTGTGCATGGGTTTCATATAGAAGCTGTCTTCCTTCCCTGGGCTGATGGTGTCACAGCAGCACACTGTTGCACCTCCTGGGTCGGTTTATAAGGGAGATCTAAAGGATTTGTTGAAGTATGTTCAGCAGTTTATCAAATTTCACCAAAACATACTTGAATGCCAAAGGTCTGTGTTGAATTTACTGGGGCAAGGGACCAAAGAAGAACAGAAATAGCTCTCCTTATTCTGATGTGAGATAAAATGCTCTATGTAACTCAATTTTGTATCTTCCTAGTATTTTCCTGCAAGCTACTGTTTCACAGTCCCAGAGTCAGCGTAGTTCCAGACCTTGCTGAGAAGGTGGTGTTATTGACTCTTAGAAATATCCGTGTTTCCTTTCTACTTTTCAGGATATTTCCAGCCATGATGTGCTACTTTACACACGTTTAGATTAGTTATACAGGTGCTTTAAACTTGCGTAAACAAGGAGTGAGCAAAAAAGCAAGAGACAATGTTGATGCTGCCTCATTTTATATGCCTCAGGCAATACAAAGCTCTGAATTGAGATTTTCATGAAGAGTAGAGCAAGAAAAGAACTGTAAACAAACTCAAGGATCTTACTAAAGACTGGAAGAGAGAAAATAGATATTCACTAAAACTGTAGACAGTAATTGGCTTGAAAGGCTAATGAACCAGTCTGTCTTGTCCTGCTCACAAGCTGCCCAGAGGCTCTCTCCTCCATGGAAATCTTCAGAAGCTGCCAGGATGTGGGCCTGGGCACCCTGCTGTGTGTGTCCCTGCTGGAGCAGGGGTTGGGCTGGTTGAGTACAGAAGTCCCATCCTGTGATTCTCTTAGTTGAGGTGGAGGGAGAGGGCTATTTTTCACAGCTAACCCCACATAGGTAATGCAACTAACAGCGGAACTTGTACCTGTTCGACTGCGACCCATCAAAACTTCTTGTTAAGGTCCTCCTTGTTCTGTCAAGCCTCTGTACCATCCTTTCTGGAATGATATCATTACACGTGGGTCATTTTCTGCAAAGGGAGAAAGAGGAGATTGAGTGACTTGTGGAGATTGAAATAATACAATCTCTTGCAATGTGATGGCTAGAATTTGGGTCTCTGGGGCAGTTGGTGGTGGTTTGCAGTGTCCATGCTTTAGTGGCAAAGGGCATGAAGGATAAATGGAAGTTTGTTGACATTTGATGGAAAAACACTTCTGCTTCTATTTTAACAACACACAAACTTTGCATATTGGAAAAAAAAAATATAAAAAGCTGATTGTTTTCTGGGTGCTACCTTGTGATGTCAGTGATTCTGGTGGCTACTGCACTCCCTTTTTGTTATATGAGAATGGAAGCAGCAGGAGTTCGTAATCTGGTTGCCCTATTGTTCTGCCTTGGTACTCTATCAGATGTTTCTGTCATAAGTCCAGCATTTCTTCCAACATTAGCTTCTTGTATGTGGGGATTATGTGCTTTCAAACACAGAACTATTGAATCGCTGAATTGGACCTCAGATTGAGAAAGCCGTGTATGGTATTGCTTCGGGCATTCAGTAGCAAGTTCATAACAGTGTTGGGTGTTGATTTGTTTTAGTTTGTTTTTTTGCGTTGTGTGTGCCTGTTTGTTGGGTGCTGTACTTTTCAAAGTCACGTCAAGACCTCCTTTGTATCCATAGCAGCACCGTGGAGTCCATTTAGTGCCTCAGTATTGTGGGTGTTATCATAGAAAGACGTTAGGAAAGGCACTGCCTGGGATTTTTACAGTGGCTTTGTTTCTTCTATCTTTAGCTGACTCAAGAGAGAGGGTAGCAGAGCAGTGTGTAAGATCAGGATTAGATGCAGATTATCTCCATAATACGGTTCTCCTGTTAGCACAAATAATACGAGTATCGTTACGAGAACAAATGGATTATAAAAAAATGAAATGAAAACATCTAGATCCTGTGCATTTGGAAAGCGTGACACTGATGTATTTGTGCAACCTTAGAATGAAGAGCAATGCTGAAGTCAAAGAGGAGATTTTGATTTCCTTCATTAAAAGCTTATTAAAGGAAGAAATGGGACAGTTGCTGCTTTGCTTCAATGGCTGGAGGTCGCAGAGGCGGGCCCAGTCTCCCCAGGATATTAATGTCTGCTTTCAGCTGGGGGAAATGAACCATCACTGGAGCTGGCGACAGCGCTTTGCTCGTCACCAGGGATCCCCATATGTCCTGGGATCTGTGCAGCCTGAGGTGGCAGGGTTGGCTGCGGGCAGCGGGCCCTCATTGCTATTCATGCCAGGTAGCTCAGCTCAGTCTGCCCAGAGCAAGGCTGTTTCATGTTGATCAGCTGTCCATCTGATAAACCGAATTGATAGGGACATTTCCTCCAAGGGCTGCTGTGACAGTGACAGCAGGAGCATTGGGATATCTTGTTAGTCCTTTCCTCCAAGCTGGCAATTCTGTTAACCCTTTGTTAGAGACAAGCCAGCAGCATTACAGTACTGCTCCGTGGATGAAGGCTGTAGAGGCTGCTTTTCCTCTTTGAAAAACACTGTCAACCTCCAATTTTCCTGTCTAAAGGGAGAATGGCCAGCTGCTTTGTTTTCACAGTGTCTTCACATGAAGCAGAAATGGTGACTTTTAAAACAACTTTGCTTTCTGTGTGACAAAACACGCTGGGGACTACAGCTTCCACTTTTCCCACTCGCCCACCCTGCCATGCCACAGAGCCCACATGGCTTTGCTGACTTCTCGTTCTGCTGGCTGCCACAGCCTGTGGGCCCAAAGCAGGTGCTGCTGGGCATCATTGTGTCTGCAGTCATTTGGGCAGGAGGTTAGTTGCATTCAGGTCAATTATGGTGGGTGCAACACATCTGCACCAGCCAAAGGAAAAATATTGATTTACTCAGTGCTTTGCAAGTGCTGAACCAGAACCTAGCCTGTATATGCATATGTGCAGTATATGGATATGTGAGCATGTGAGGCAGTTTATTTACTCAGTAAATCGGGGCTTAGTCAGTATTGGAATAAGCAGGAATAACAGGGAGCACAGAATCATTAAAGTTGAAAAGACCACTAAGATCACCTAGTCCAACCTCCAGCCCATCACCACTGTGCCCACTAACAACCACGTCACTCAGCGCCACATCTACACGTATTTTGAACACCTCCAGGGGTGGTGACTCCACCACCTCCCTGGGCAGCCTGTGCCACTGCCTCACCAGTACTGTTGTACTAGGTTGCAATTCAACTTAAAGACCTTATAATCAAGGATGTACATTATGTTTTTGCTGATAACATTAAGTCTCTGTCACACAGAGGGAACTGCTTGAATGTGAAAAAACATGAACACGCTGATGATTCCATCAGAGCAGCCCTGTGCATATCTAGCTGAGCAGAACCAGCAGGGCAAAGTGCTGCTGCCTGCTGCTCTGTTCCCTCCCCTCATCTCTGCCTGCTGACAGCTCATCACTTGCTGTGGGTGGGAGCAAGGGAGGAACTCATCCTGGGGCCCCTGGGGCAGTCACTAGGGTACAGCACCAAATTAGGAGGAGGAGAAGAAAGAGAACTGGTTACCTGGCTCTTCTCATGCCTTTTCCAAAAAAAACAAAGTGAAAATAGAGGGCAAGTCTCATGTCAGGAAAGTGAAAATATTGTGCCTGATGCAGGGGTTCTCACAGGGATGAAGTTCCAGAGTTCAGAGGGTAGCACATTGTGAGCTGGAATGAGAAACAATTTGTGAAGCTACCCAAATAAAATCTGACCTGTTCCTGTGCTGGACAAGAATCACTGTGTCTTCTGACCAGTGAAATGTCACTAGTGCACCATATGTCTGGCTGTCTCCCACCCCCCTCGATGTTATGGAACTGCAAAGTATCCTGTTATTAATTTAACTCTAAATTGAGCAGTCATTTACTGTAGCATTCTTAGAGTGTTCACATTAGCTTGCTCGTCCTTCGTTCATTCCCATTGACACTTTCTGTTTGGCAATTTAAGCACTGGAATAGGCTCCCTAGGGAGGTGGTTGAGTCACCATTCCTGATGTGTTTAAAAACTGGTTGGATGTGGTGCTCAGGGACATGATTTAGCAGAGGGTTCTTAGAGTTAGGGTAGTACGGTTTGGCTGTGGTTGGACTTGATGTTCTTTACGGTCTTTTCCAACCTGAGTGATTCTATGATTCTATTATTCTAATTTCTTCACGCTGTTGTCCCTCAAGCTTCTGCAGACAAAACTAAAAAGAAAATGCGGTGAGAACCATATTGATTACTTAGCTTTGTTCTTTTGGAGAATTCAAACAAAGGGCAGTGTTCCCCCGAGCAGAACCAATGGTACCAGCAGCCTATCTGGAAATTCTTGGTGATGTGATGTGATTCTGTCTATGCTTAATGTTGCATCTGAAAATAAATAAATATTACCTTAGCGTATAGCTTAGCATGGCCTATTTTTTCCCCCCTGAAATCTTTATTTTATTCATAGCTTCAAAGTAACTGCACTTTTTCTTTACTTTCAGTCAAAGAAGTCTTGCAGAGATTACGGAACTGATCCACACTGCCTTTCTGGTGCATCGAGGCATAGTGAACATTGGTGAGCTCAAGTCCTGTGATGGCCCGCTGAAGGATATGCAATTTGGGAATAAAATGGCTGTTCTGAGTGGAGATTTTCTGCTCGCAAATGCTTGCACAAGTCTTGCTCAGTTACAGAATACCAAGGTAAAAATAAAAAATAAAAATTCTTTTACTGCCAAAGCAACTATTAGTAAATCTTCTAAAACAGAAGTCCGTTAGAAAATCATCTTAGTTATGGTGTGTTGTTTATCTGTGGAACACCCTTTAAAAATCAGCATGCTTATACTGTAGCTGTGGATGGATTAACAGGATGCTACTGCTGTGAATGTCTACCGCTGTCGTGTAGAATTGCTGTGTGCTGACAGCGTCAGTGGATGTTCTGAAGAATGTAGCTATAGGTAGTGATGAATGACTGGTTAGTTTGGTGGATTTTAGCTGTGTGCTGTGGCATCCTTGTGACACCTTGAAGTAGAGCCCCTCTAGCAGGCTGCCATCTGCAGGCATTTTTGGTTTGGTGTTTCACCTTCAGCTTTGTGAAAAGTTTGTCGTAGAGAATTCATAAGGGAAGACACTTAACCTCTTGTCTATGCAGCTCTCAGGTAATAAAATTATTTTGTTAGGCATTTGGTCATCCTGGAATATTGGATTGCCCAATTAACATGGACGTACTGGCTTCCAAAAGGCATCTGCAAGTCAGCTAATCCTAATAGGCAATGTTTTTCATGATGAACAAGTTGTGTATATGTGTGATCTTACAAAATGAATCTGATGGAAAACTTGAGAAATCATCTTTCTGGTTGGTTTTTCTGTCCCCAGACAGAATCAGCTGCACTAAATCATTCTTGATTTGTCTAGCTTCTCCTTAAAATTTGTCATGGTGGAGAGAGATTCATGAGCATCCCTCTGCAGTCTAGTGTGTATCACCTAGCTACATGTATGGCTGGAGTTTTGTGGGCTGAAAACTGTTGTTCTTGACAGGGAAACCTTAATTCACGTGAACATTTCTTCCATATCTTAATGGAAAATAAGCATGTCGTGTGTATGAATGTCAATGATCAACACAGTTTTAATTCTTAGCTTAATGAGTGCATCGTTTTTAACTTCTTCTGAAGTTCCTCAGGATGGTTACAGTTGAGTATTTCCTGTATATACTGCTTTGATCATCGTTATGACAATGTGTCACAAATGTGGTGTCATTTCACAGTGTAGAGCTGATATTCAGAAGAAGGACAAGAGATCAGGTGTCAATCTGCTTGAATATTGGGTTAAGCTGTTACAGGGAGAACCGATCGTAAATATTTTTTAGAAGTTTTGTGAAGAGTTTTAGTTATACCATAATAAAAATGGGTGGTAATTAGTTTTAATAATTATTGTTGATTTGTGTCCATTAATTTTTTTCGTACGTAGTAAGAATCTGAAAACAAAGCAAAGCATTTAACTCTACTTCATTTTTTGTTGTTGTTGTTTCCTCTTCTGTGGGAACGTTTTATAAAATGCAGCACCTACTACTTTGCATTTATTACATCATTAAGTATTGCAGCAACAACTCCCTTAAGGCTTGCCAGGAAGCAAGCCTACAGTGAAATGAAACACAAGTGCAAAGAAATATTTCCCCCCCCTTTTTTTCCTTACTATTTTTTAAGAAGTAATCATATTGTATGTCTGAAAAATCCTGCCAAAACATTTTAGCACTTTTTTCATTTTTCTGACATCTAAATACTTTCATAGCTTCTAGATGCGATAAGTGGGATGCCATTATGGGAACTGATTGACTTAGTAAATTATTCTTTTTCATATGTCTAACCCCACTAGCAAAGTTAGAAAAATTGAAGTACAAGCTATAGAAATTTCTTGACAGGTGCAATGATTTAAACATACTGTATTTATTCTTTTGTAAATGATGAATTTTCAAATCTGGCATCTGTTTTTCAGCAGTGTGAAATAACTGTGACTTTTTTCCTTCATAATGTTTTGTTTTCTTTGATGGAAAAAGTAAAAATCTCAGTGCTGCTTTTTGCTAGCACTCGTTTGATAGCTCATCAAATTGGCTGGTGAAATGAGCAGCATGCATTGTACATGGCACTGACCGTGGTAGACTATAACCTCTATTTAGGCATGCATAATTGTTGTATCATCTAGAATTTAAAGGGGATTTGAGCATTACCTGATACCACTGCTACCAAGATAATTTTATTGTGCCATTAAACTCTTGTCTAAGCTTGCGTATGATGCATTTATCTCTTTGCTTCTCTCGGGGCTGACAATTAGATGTGAAATTCTGTAGTCGTAATGAAATGCAGAGCTATTTTATAATTGCCAAGGGTAAAATTAGCAAAGTCAATTATTTTCCCTTAGGCTTTTCCCTGTAGATATTAAAAGGCTGCAAGGTAATTGCCTTAGGTAACACTTTGATTTTTAAATAACATTAAATATAGGAATTGTTGTTGTTAATTTGTAGTAATTTTCCTCTTCTTGCTAGTGCTGTAGAATATAACTGCACTGATGTTAATTCAGGGCTCAGGGTTTGTGGGCTTTTTTCTTTTTTTGAAATCAAATGCCCATAGTTCTCATTCATACAATTGCTAATGTTATGCAAAAGGAGATTTTTGAGGTGGAGGGTTGCTTTTTTGGGTGGGGGTTGGGTGTTTTTGTTTGTTTTTTATGTGTGTGCTACAAATGCTGAGGATTTCTTGAAATGTCAATTATGATACCAGAAACAGTACAAATAATACAAATACTGTTTTTGTGCTGTGGTGAAGTCATGTAAAATTTGTTGTTTGAACACACACAATAATTTGGAAGAAAGCATTCTCATTTTCTACTCCGTGAAATTGAGACATTAATTATGATTACAAAGTTGGCATTAATTGAAAAAAATTTAAAAAAAAAAGCTACAGAAGGGCAACTGTGTGCTATATTTGTGTAAATTACAGCAGAGTTCTCAGTTGATTTGAATAATAAAATCTGTTTCAAATGAATGGTGATTTCTTCAGCTGTAAAGTCTTACATTGATCACACTGCATATTTTCTGTTCTTTCATGTTAATTTTTTGACTGCCTTTTTTCTTGTACTTTTGATAGTGGCTTTTCTTGGCTTTCTGATTATCGTGGTAAGTTGTGTTGTTGATTGAAGATAATATGGATATAACCTTATTCCATAATTGCAACCTATAGTAGATTGGACATTGGATTTTAAAACTGAATTGAGCACAAAGAGCATCTGGGTGGGATTTTTTAGTAGACGATGTATTGGCAGTGGTTTTAAAAATTATTAGCCCTCAACAAGGAAGAGGATGGGGTTTTTTGCTAGTTAAAAATTACACGGTAACATCTGGTAACGTGCTGATTTGTTGGACTGGAATGTTTATTTGGGATGATGGGAGGGGGTTGCTTGAGAGGTTTTCTCTTTTTATGGTGTTCTGATTTTAGAATTTTGATGAAGCATTTTAGAAGTCATTGTAAACATGTGTATTGTGGGAGAAACAGAAAAGCAAATGATGCTTACCTAACAAATGACGGTATCTCCAGTGTGCTTAAAGAAAAATTGGTTGGTTCTTTTGAAGGTGATGTGACCTTAACATATCTGATCTGGATGGATGAGGGGTTGAAATTGCTAGCAAGATTTTGTTGTGTGACAGTGCTTCTTTAGTAACGAAAGGTATTAGTTTGGTCTTTGAGTTCTGCCTAAGTAACCTTAACCTCTTATAATAATTGTAGACTGGTGTTCAAATGTGAATGCAGCAAACGTAGCAGGCATTAATTGTAGTTTTGCCATCTGTTAGCAAGAAATGTCATATGGACATTTTAAACTCAAGTGATATGTGAATATTGACCAGGGTGTTGTCAAATATTTTTCTTTATTAGGATATATTACAGATGAGGTGAGTGAAACTTGTTGCAGCTTTTAAGCTGGAGCTTGTTAGATCATCTCTATTGTAAGTTCTCTTATCAAACTATAGATAGAGTGCATTAAAGATGTAGTTGTGACCAGTTTTGATGCTCCCACAATCTGAAGGCAATGACACGTAGAACTCAAGAAGGATGAAATCAGTCATTTTAGTGCAGTGCCTACTGTAATGTATTGATGGCTAAAGAAATGATAAAAGAATCTAAATATATTGCTTGCAACTCCATAGACAGACAGGAAGGCATATCTCTTAGAAGACCAAAAAAAAAAAAAGGAGAAAAAAAAAAAGCTTAATCCAAAACACTTTAACATACCTGTAAGGGTCGTGTTCTTTGTACTTCTTACTGAAATTTTTGGAGTGGCACTGTTCTTCCATCTGTAATTCAATGAACTTTTGTTGGAATGATTGAGCTGCACCAAAGCACTTCAAATCTGCAGCCTGAAAGCTTGGAATTGAGTTCAGGAATCTTGTCTGTCAGTGCAGAGCTCTGCCAGCAGACCACATCACAGAGAGTTGTTTTATTAGGCATTATTTGTTTATAAATGAACAGCAGCACAGTTGCAGTACTTACATAGTGGATGCATTTCCTTATGTTAAGTTTATGTGCTCCTAAACGCATGTGTTATTTACAAGATAGGACTTGTGTTAGCGTAAATGTTAACAAGTTATTCGTGTAGATCCTTCTATTGAAACAGTCTGAATGTGCACTTTGCTTCCTCAGAGTTCTGCTTATCTTGAGCCCTGGTTTATGCTTACATAGCATCACTTGTGGTCCTACGTGGAGGGAAGGGGCATGGGATTTGAATTTGAGGGACTTGATTCCTTGGCACCAGTGAAGAGTAAAGGGTTTCCCCTTTTTTAAATGATTTTTTGAGAGGGGGAAAAAAAAAGAATTAAAATGAGCTTCAGAATTAACTAACTTAGCATTGTCTGTCTTGCTGTACCTTCATCTGAGGGAGCATACTGCACTGAGTGGGGAGTAGGGCTGCTTCTATATTGCTGAGTGGTTTGAGTATAATTTAGTATTTAGGAGTGTCATGGAAGTGTGTCTGAAAGACAGACACTACTGAAGATTGCAGGTAGGATTGAAGAATTCTGAAAGTATTTACAGAAAGTTATGATTAAGGAGCACTGTTTTCTCTGGGAAATGGAGGAGAAGGAAACCAAGTGTGTTTTGAACACTTAACCTAGTATGAGATGACATAAGACACCACAATTGTCATGATTGAGAGTTGTT